TTGGGTTCAAGCGCAAGCTCTGGCTGAGCCACTCAAAGACATTCACAAGAGTTTTTCATAAGCCACCCTTTAGCTCGTTGAAGGTGTGTTGAAGGTTCAAAAGATGAACCTTTTGCCCTGTCTGGGGTTTTGAATGCTCTGGACTAGGTTTTCATTGAGCCTCTCTCCATATTTTGCTGAAGCCTGCTTTCCTCCATTCATGATGCTTGGAACTGATTTTTAATTTATTTCTTTTTATCAAAATTCCATGTGGGTTTTCATGCGTCTTCACGGAGATTATTTGAGTCTGGCCAGACCACTGTAAGATTATTGATGTCATTTGGCTGGATCAAGAAGAAGGTCACAGTCTGAAAAAACAAGGAACTCTCACGAGAATCAACATCTGAACTCTGTCTCGCAAGCCTAAAGCAATACACCCAACTGAGAGAAACAAAAGCTCCACACCTTCACTCTTCCCCTCTCTCCACTAATTTCCTTCTGAACACAAGACACTGCAGAGATCACCAAAACCACCTTTCTTAATCAGAGTTTATTACAATGCAACAATTCATGTTTGATGTCGTTTGAAAGGTCTCTGTGTGTCTGGTAAAGGGGTCTCATTCTCTTAACAATAGAACAGGTAGCCATAAATATTGAAAGTAGACTACTCCCAGGTCTTTCACACAAATTACCTTCTGTATGTAAATGAGGTACAGCCTCCCACAGAAATCAAGATAATTCACTTGAAACCCCCTAAAGAGATATGCTAAAACGCTGCAATAAACAGACAATACCATTTGGTATCTATGGGGTTCTTCTGGATATTTAAGGGAGAGTGACAAAGAGCTCAGGGAATCTGTAGGCAGATCTCCCGCACATCTGTTGTGCGTAGTCCTCATTATCAGGTAACATTTATATATTCTCTTATTTCGGTATTACTGACTGTTTTGTATGATTGATTAATTGTTTTCTATTGTTTGATTGGACTTTGAATTATTATGTTGATTACCTGATTAATAAATTGTTATGTTTGAATTAATTCTGATTACTCTGAAGATATTTTCTCAAGTAGATTAAGTGAAGGCTTATGTTTCCACAAATCTGCGACCAGGGTTAAGTGCATACTAAATCTCAGGTTTAGATGAAGCACGGGGCGCATCAGGTGAGATTATAGGTTTCTGACTAACCGCTTGACCTTAGTTTAAGTTGTACTCAGTTACGGTAACCATGTATATGATTTCAGAATTAATTAAATTGTACGAAGCTAGATTAGCTATCGGGGTCTAGACAAAGGTGTTCTAGAAGAACCGCTGCTAAATGAACATTATTTGGTGTAATGAAATGTGTTTATGCGGTTTAAAAAACACAT